TAAACAGGCCCTTCGACAATTTTTCGTAACACTGTTCCATCACAGGTAGACAGCCCTGTGGGTTTGAGGCCGCGTGACGTCAGTTATTTGATACGCCTTTAGAACTTCGCCAGTCGCCAGGGCTGGTTTGTGCCGTCTTTCAACCGACACACTATGCACTGACGTGGGGAGGGTCGGGTGAAATCTGAGCTCAGTTAGTGATTAATTTGAATTTTAATACGGTTAATCGAAGGCCTATGATCGACCTCTTCGGTCCACATCAAGTGTCGACGGCAGATGATGAGCGAATGTAGGAAATGGAGCAGGCTTTTAAGGTGGTTAGAGGCGAGAAATTGAACTGATTTTTGGCTTAGCTCTTACACGTTTATCGACTTTTATCTTGCTCGAAGGTGGTAGGTGAACGACATTTGGAAGCGGAAGGAATTCGGCGAAGTTCTGAAGGCTTTCGGAGAATTAATTGTCCCAAAACCCCGCAAAATCAAACTCTATTTATCTGACTGTCATTGAGCAGATTTTGGAGATGAAAAGTTACGATTTGCGGAGTTTATGAAACATTTCTCGGGATCACTTGCGTCTTGCCGAGATCGACCGTTGCAAATTACAAACAATGTAAGAGTTCACATGGCGTATCGAATAACTGATGTCACGCGGCCTCAAACCCACAGGGTTGTATGCCTGTGGTTCCATAAGACACCGTTTTTAAAAAACAGACTTGAAGGTCTCAGACAAGACCTTGGAATCTTGGACGAAATGTCGTACCACATATTGTTATCAGTGACTTATGATTTGAAGAATTCTTGAAAGATTTCCAATCATGTTTGCAAAAAATTTTTTTCTGGCCTTAAAATAGAAGCTGCATCTCATATTTTCCTCAAGTACAGTAAGAGTTTAAGGGCACAATGTAAATGTAATTTACTACAGGTAAAATAAGTAGACTAATTGCTTTTCATACATGCTGATTGGTCAGCTTGTTTGTATTTAAAATACTATTCACCTCTGTGGCGAGAAGCAAAGTGGCTTCCTATTTCTCTGTAATGAAGAGGTAACTAAAGTTTGATTAAAGCATAGCAAAGTGACAACTAAGTTTGGTTTGATTGCATTTCAGCACAGGCTCGGTACACGGCGTGAGAAGGTAAGTTAGTTACATAATTTTACCATTCATTGCATTTTCCAACCTTTTATGGCAAAATATCAAAATTTTGAATACTGTAATGGCCAATCTTATGGAAACTGGAACGTGTAATGGTTTTAAGCAGTCTTTAAAACTGATAAAAAACGTAAATGTAAGCGTAAAACGTAGGAAGTATCGGGTGTGCAAATGTCCACTACTCTTCACCTCTGCATCCTAGGCCAGCAGAAGGATAACTCTTTTTTTGGGATATACATGATTGTATAAAAGAAAATGAGATTTTAATGCCCTATATGTAACCTTCATGTAGATATGTGTTTTATAGTTAAGAGCTGAATGTACTTACATGATAAATATAATTACGAGCATTTACATAATGTAAACATGAAAGAAACCTCTTACGCTGACTCGTCATCAGTTTTAAAACTTATTTCCCCTTTGTAGCAGTAGAGTTTGTGCAGAAAGTTTTGCCAAACAAGAAGCAAACCAGAAACCATGTTTTTAATCTAGGTCATTCTGAAAGAAAACATTTGGCATTAAGCTGTACAAGTTTTGATGCATCACTGCCAATGGAGATATATCTGTGACATCATGGCATGATTTGTAGCTGTAAATAATACAATTTAAAGTGCTAAACATGACTGTTGGGCACAGTGCTTATACATGTACAAACAGTAGAGAGATCTCCCAATTAGTGACCTCACAATAATAATAACAATAACAGTCTTTATACAGGGAGCTCACGTCACTGGAAAGTGGTACTCTGTGAGGCCCTCTAAAATAAAATAAAATTCATAAATAGATAACAAGTTAAAAACATAAAAACTATGAAGTACACAAAAAAACTAATTCTAGAGGTAAAAAATCTCGACACTGACTTAATAAAATTTATAGTTTTTCACTCTGCTTAAAAACGAGGAAAAAGTTGATTTCTTTAAAAGAAGTGCTTAAAAGATTCCATTATTTTGCGCATATCTATAAAAGTCTTTGTTTTCCATAGTTTCTTTTAACAAGAAGAAGGCAGAAATCGTTCTTTCTTCTTGTATCATAACTGTGGATGTCAGAATTTCTTGAAATGTCAAACCACAAGCCCGTGAATGCACTTAAAGGTGGCAACATATTTATGTACAAGGCGCCGTTGGAGCAACATTGGCCAGCGGAGGGTTTTTTGAGCATCAGTGGATGAAGCATAGCTCGGCAAATCGAGGATACGTTTTGCAGCTTCATTTTGCAGTATTTGCAAATCTTCCATAATAGTAGTATCATCCTAGTCTCCCCAGAAGATATCGGCATGGTAAAAAGTGGGCCTATTAAAGAACTGTACAACGTGATTCGCGCTTCTGATGGTAACAGATGTTTGACACGTCTCAATAAGCCGATTCTGTTATTTATTTTGGCAATTAATGATTCGATGAGCTCATGCTATGTCATGCTCTTGTGAATGACTATACTGAGATATTTGATTGAACTAGTACTTTCAAGTTCTTCATCATCTGTTTCCTTGATACCCTGGCAGGTTTGCAACTTGCGATTGTTACCAAACAATAAAAACTTGGATTTTTGAATGTTTAATGTCAGAAAGTTCCTGTGAACCATTCAGCTAAATTGGCAAGGTCGGCATTTTGGTGGTACTGTATATCTTGACAGCGACCACTACGGTATATCACTGTGTCGTCTGCATACATGATTACTTGACAGTGCTCCAAGCAGTTCGAAAGATCTTTGACATAGATGAGAAATAGCAGAGAGCCGAGAAACCAAACCGATTTGGAGTAAGCAGTTTGGAGTCTGATAAAAAAAACTATACAGTTGCTGGTGTACCGCTCGTTCAAGAATCTTGCTGATGGCTCGGAGTACAGTTATTGGTCTGTAATTGTTACAGTCCTTCCTTTCACCTGTGTTAAATAAAGCAGGCACTTTACCAAGTTTCTAGATCGTTGGGAATGTGCTTGCTTGAAGTGATCGGTTGAAAAAATTGGTCAGTATAGGTGCCATACACTGAGCCGAACCTTAAATAATCGTGCACTGATGCGATCTAATCCTACGGCTTTGTTACTTCGCAAAGCTTTCAGTTGCTTGAGAACAAAGGATTCAGTGATTGTAGAAAATGTAGACAAGTTTTCTTTGCCGATGCAGTGAGAGTAGGTGGGTGAGAAGAACTTTTTATTGTTGTCTACTGCAGACCGGAGTTTTTCTTTCATTTTCGTAGCCAGCTTGGTTTCAATAAGAGAGAAATGCGCATTAAAACCCGGGCTATAGCGCTTTTTTCAGTGTGCCAAACGCCATCTGCCTCAATTAAAGACACGGTCGAGTTGGACTTCTTCGATAAGAACTCATTAAATGTCTTCCAAAGCTCGCTGGTATTACCTTTGTTCTTGTCAATTGAATCGAGTAAAATTCCGATTTGCATTTTTTCACCTGTTTGTTTACAAAGCTCTTGATCTTTTTAAACATTTCCCAGTGGTATCTTGTTCGTTTTTATCGCCTTTCTATGCTGAGAATCAGGGTCACGCACGGCATTTGACAGGTCAGATGTCATCCGAGGTGTTTTCCTTCCTTTAATGTGAGTTTTCTTGATCGGTGCATGTCTGTTTGCAAAATCACTAAAAGAGATGTTCCATGTTTTCACAGCAGGATCTACATCCCCATTTACATCAGTAATGCCCCAGTTAGTTTCAGCTAAGTCCTTGATGAAGGTTCCTTTATTTTACTTGAGGTACGAACGGTATTCATTCGTCTTCGGCTGGGCCTCAGGGACACCTGATTTCATGGTACAAAACACAATAGAGAGATCACTTATTTCAGAGTAGATTACACCACTCTCGACAATGCGATGGTTTTTGTCCCCAAAGATCAGATCGATGGCTGTTCTTGTTTATTCACATATTCTGATCGGGGTGTTGATTATCTGCTCAAGGTCATTAGCCATTGCAAATTTTTTCAGTTAGCGTTTTAATTTCAATGCGGGATTGTCTTTTTTTTCGGCTAAATAGTCGATGTTGAAATCGCCTAAAATGGCAATTTCCGATCTCGCTGGTAGTTTCGAAAGTGAGTCGTTCAGTGCGTCAATGAATGTCTCAGAACAGACTTCAGTTGCCTGTATACACAACCAATAAACAACTCATTGCTCTTGGGACGATTTACTTCAATCCAGGATGTTTCAGAGTTTTTAACAATCAAATCCATTCTATGTTTGCAGGGAATATTATCGCGTACATAAATTGCCGTGCCACCGCTTCGTTTACCGCTTCAGTCATTTCTCGTTAGTGTAAAGAGCCAGGAATGTTTACTTCAGAATCCTTTATAGATGGGTTCAGCCATGTCTCAGAAAAAGGAAAAATATCCAATTTTTTGTTGCTGCGTAGCAACCGGACATGATCCATCTTGTTCAAAATGCTTCGTACATTAAGATGAGCTATTTTAAAGCCACGAGGTTTTGATAGATCGCCGGTGCTGTAGAAACTACCAGTAGGTCCAGGATTCAAGAGAGCATTTGGTCCTGGATTTACGGAGATATCGTCACACTATAGCGGTAAACTGGCGAGTAAAATATCCCCAGTGGGCTAGATAACGCGAAGCGAAAACCCAAACGCAAGATAGCTTTTGTCGGCAACTTTCCTTTCCATAGAAAACTTGGAAGGGGAAAAGGACTTAAGTTCTCTGCCAACAGCTAAAGCTGAACAAAAACCAGTACCATCGTTAAGGCGTAGGACATAAAAAGCCTTTGTTACATCGCTTAGAACCAGGTAAAAAACCAGGATAACTGCAGAGCGCAGAAACACGTGTCTAACCGCCGCCATTACTCTCAATGACTATCTACCTTAACTATCATCAGTTTTATTAAACATATCCATTTGTTCCTCTTTTGCAGATGGAAGCTTCAGGAAAGAGATATGCTGAACAAATATTGAATCAGCCGCCATGCAGTGGAGGATATTCCTCCAGCAATCCAGTCAGAGTTACCATACTGGCAAATGAATGGGGGCGGAGGTGGGGTTTCTTGGAAGGCAAATCAATCCTCACAACAGAGTTGTCCAAACAACTGGCAAAATTCCCTCATGCGAAAGTCTCTGTCTTGGTCCCTGAAGGTTCATGTGATGAACTTCACAAGACAGTTGCAAAAAGTCATAATGTTACCATGGTTGAAGCAAAAAAACAACCTGGATTGAAAGATCCCAATGACTGGCTGTACTTCCCACCAAAAGGCCTCACTACAGACATTGTAATTGGTGTAGGTGAGAGACTTTGCGAAGTGGCACAAATTTTTAAGAAATTTCACCATTGCAAAAGTATTTTTTTTGGTTGGGATTCTTTTGAAGAAAGCCTCTCTAGAGACAGCAAATCAAGAGACTCCCCGCCTGAGATTGAAGATGTTTGCCTAGGAAAAAGCAATGTTCAGCCTATGATGCAAATGGCTGATCTTCCAGTTGCTGTTGGACCAAAGATAGCTGACACACTTTCTGTTTCCCTCTCTCGTCAAGGAAAAGAAGTATCTAAGTTGACTCCAGGTATACTCAGTGAATTTGCTGATGTCACACAAACCCTTTGTGATAGGAAAAAGTTTCGTATCCTGGTGGCAGGTCATGGCCACCCCAGGTATTTTTACAAAGAAGGACTTGAAATTGTTGCAAAAGCAGTTGCTGGGTTGAAGGACAGATCCTATGAGATTATTTTAGTTGGTGCTGCTAAAGGAGAACATTGGGGATTTATTGAGAAATTTCATGAATGTGGTGTACCCAAACATCAGCTGATCATTGGAAGCCCTCCAAAAGATGACGAAAAAATGAAAAGGTGGCTCTGTGAAGCAGACCTTGCCATTGTGCCCTCAGCTGAACAAGAAGTTGGAATGTTTGGTCTTGCAGCCTTGTCATCTGGCCTCCCTATCCTGGTACATGGTGCATCAGGACTTGGTGAAGCCTTGATAGATGTCGCTGGTGGTTTGTCATCCATTGTGGAGTCAGAGGATGTCAGTGAGTGGTCCAAAGAAATTAAGAAGGTCAGGAACAAGGGTAGGACATTACAGATTGAAGAGGCTGATTTACTGCGAAAATGTTACAGTGAGAAGTACAGTTGGAAGGAACAGTGTGGAGCTCTTGTTGAGGAGATGCTGAAGATGGCTTCTGGTATGAATTTCTTCAATGTGACTTGCATGTGTTGGTTAAACATGTAGCAGTTGTGAATATGAAGAAAACGACAAAACTTTTAAGTTTGTAAAACATGTTTCGACAGAAGCATCTGTCATCTTCGGTTAATTAATGTACAAAGCGTTGGAAGTTGAATTTGTAGCAGAACAATGTACATGTTCACTGCAGTTGAATTGTATTTTCAAAATGTAAATGTTTAAGTTGAGTTAGTGATAATTCTGATCATCGTTGTATTAAGTTTCATCTGTTGTAGCCTGATAATGCGTGACAAATAACTGTGAAGTAGAATTTTCTGCAGACAGGGTAGCCCATTCATCTCAAATTTCCCATTCCTAACACTGCTACTGTTATTTAAAAGCTGAACAGCTGTCTAGTGAGGATGATGATGATGATCTCGATAGTAGCAGTGGTAGCGAAGAGATTCCAGAGGCTAGTGGACAAATACAACAACTAAAAATCCAAGAAGAAGATGGCGAAAGGTTAGAATGTGAGCAGGAACAAGATCCAGATAGGATAAAGATACACGAGTAAGTGAAAATGAATGAGTTGCCAGTAATCGGATCCTTGCGTTTGCGCAAAGATTTCTTGGATCGCCACGGGGCAAACACTGCAAGTTGTTATGAGGAAATGTATGACCGATGGTTGTTTCGACGTCCAAAAAAAACATTTTGGATAGAGATCGATGCCTTTTTGCTGTATTTTTATCATAAGTGGATTAGGTAATGTTAATACGAGGGAACTGTAAGTTTTGTCAGAATTACCTCGTTATAAAATATACCAATGAACATCTCTCCTTAACTAAGATCCGTTATGAATTCGTCATCGCTTAATGGTCTCGACATAGTACAAAATTAGCCATAAATCCATAGGAAATAACTCTTTTTAAGTCTGAAAAGAGGTCATAAGTTCAAATCCCTGACAGGCCCGAATTTTTTTCAGGTCCTATTTTCAACAGCTAGTTCAGTAGTGTTCTTAGCTGCGAGGATCTCTTAAATTCGTCGTTTTAAGTCTTTTCAGTTGTATTTGTGGATGCACAGCCTGTTTTCATATGTGTTAACGTATTAAGTAAACAAAATTACGACGTCTGAAAATATGCCTCAAAGGAGAGAAGTCATTTTTAGCGAGCTGTTGCTCTTTGGATGGAAGAACTAAGTGATGAAAAACATGTGGAAACCCCTTAGTCAAGTGAAAGTCTGTTTGAGAAAAATTCAAAAGTGTTTAAAATAGCCGCGAACACAAGGATCCGATTACTGACAACAAATGACATATGTGGCCCTGTGCGTTATCATTGAAAAAAAAAACAACAAATGAAAATTATTGTGGACCCTGCGCCTTACAATTGAAAAAAAATATGTAAAAATTATTGTGGGCCCTACGCGTTATCATCGAAAAAAAAACATATGAAAATTATTGTACTAGGGCCGTAAGAAATTTCAGGTGCAGCTGTGTGTCCGCTCCCGAGAAGTGAGCTGAAAGAAGAAAAATAAGAAAGGGAAAGATCGAAAGTTACATGCCATACTAAATTGCATACTGCCGACTTAGGTCGCGCTGGACGGCAAAATTGTTAGCTTTTGGCAAAGAAACTTGCGTTTGTAACAAATTGATTTTATTTTTCTCGGTGTGTTTGTCCGTTTAGGTCAAATGGCTACTTTCTTAATCCTTCAATTCCAAGATCTCATTGTTAATTCTCCAAACTGTCTGCCATATATTTCTTGTGATGTTAGTTTGGAGAATTTGGTATTGGATCACCAAATAATCCCTTAATTAATATTTTTCTTTTATTCCCATCACTTGACTGCTTGATATTGTCTGTCATGTTGACTCATGTTGACTCATGTTGAGGGGAAATTTGCTGGTTTAACTGAACCAAAATGAAGGCGGTGTTGATGACATTGTGCATTACAATTCAAGTGAAAAATTGTCTTTTCTATCTAGTTAATTCCATGCTCATTCATGGCATTGTGATTATTTGCAGAGGAACACTTACTAGCGAGGACGTGCATTGGAACATCAAGCTAGGGTCTGTACATCTAGCCTTTCCTCGTGATGCTGTATCTGAGCCCACCCAGATAACGGTCCATCGATGGAAACCCATGGTCCTGTCCCCGCCTTTGCAGGAGCACGAGGCTCTCGTCAGCAACGTGATTGAGATTTCTTCGAACCGTCAAGAAGCTTTCAAATTTAAAGCTGAAGTTAAGATTTCATTCACTCACAGTTCTGCCGGCCTACACGGCTACGAGTTGGTGTTGTACAAACGGACTGACAACGAGACTGGTGCATGGGAAAAAGTGATTGATGTGGAAGACTTCAAAAGCATCTCAGGTTGGAGGAAAAGCCTTCAAATTTGTTTATGGTGTATCGTTGTGTGTGTTGGTCGAACATGGATAAATGTGCGAGAAAATCTGCTTCCAGGTTTATCTTAACGGAGGATAGCTAAAGGGTGGGGTGGGGGGGGGGGGTTCCTTCTTTTCGCTCGCCTTTTTCTGTAAAATTCACGTGTCGCAGATCAATTTTGTCCCTAAATACAAGTCACAAATTCTTTGCCTCCCTCTTAACGTGGCTAATGAATATCCTAGATGATTTTAAAAGGTTTCTAGTTGCCAAGCCACGCATACTTCAGTACTAGTGAAGACAAATATTGTTTGAATGGTAACAGTCAAAATAAGTGTAGTTAGCCCCACGGTGAACCCTAACCCTTGTCTAAAGACTAAGGACAGGTTACATACACGAGGTCTAGCCCAAAACACGGTTTTATGCAATCAGTGGGCCTCAGGTTTTCTATATGAGAGGGTTGATTTAGTAAGATAATTTAATTAGACTGTTGCCTTCCGGCTCTCTTGACACTGTCCACAGAGGTAAATGCCCAAATAAAAGGTTCAGCCAAATTAACGATTGCTTAAAACGCGGTTTTGTTGAACTACGGCTAAACTTTGTTTAAATAGTAAGATTGTTCACACTTGTAAGCCTCTGAGAATTCGTATTAACTCGCTCTCATTTAGTCTTTCACAAGATTACTAAAATTAACTGAACCTATATTTTATTTGTAGATAGAAATTAGAGAGATGGTAAGTTTTGAGCTCGTAAAGCAATGAAGAAAGATGTTTTTCATCTTGTCACGAGTGTGGGACAAAGAAACAATTCTGAGTCCTCATGAGGAATCGAACCTCAGACCTTCGGATTCCGCGCTCCGATGCTGCGCCACTGAGCCACAAAGACTCCACGGTGAGCGAGGTCTATTACGAAGTTCATTTTTCCTTTGTCCCACGCTCGACACACGACAAAAATCATCTTTCTTTATTTTATTTGTTCTCTGCTTTATCGATATAGATTTTGAAGAAGAATATCAATTTAGCCAAGATATTCTCAATTTCCACTTTCCTGTTGTGCAAGCGGATATAACAGAATGTGCCACATATGCAGTAGTGAGTCGTCTCCATCTTTCCCCTGAATTCACGATTACATCAAATGGCGGTTCCTTTGTCATGCCTGAATATCCAAGTGTAAGTGTTACCATCCCGAAAAAGGCTGTTACTTCGAAAACAAGGATTCCTCTTCGACTGAAGGTACAGACTTTTCCTGAAATATGACGGATGCGAGGGGCATCTCGTGTCATTACGCAGTAAATGTTCGTGATTGTTTTTATCTTTGAGAACTGGTAATGGAAGTGTCGAGTTGTTTGACAAGAAAAGTCCTATTGACAAGAATCGGCAAATTTTTGGACTAAAAAAGTTTTGTTCCCTATTCTTCTGTTTGTTGCTTGAGTCTGTCTTTTACTGTTGGAAGTCCATGCAACACCTTAATACTGAATTTGAAAATGAATGTGGAGAAAATTCTCTTCTTTTCCATTTTACTTTACCGCAACGTAACTTGTTCTTAACCTAATGAATCCTTGGGTTTTCTCTTTCCGACATAATTTTCCCATTAGGTGCAAGAAGTGCCAGGTGAAGAGTTTGAGGCTAATGATATACTTATTGGACCTATACTGCGAATAGTTTGCGACAAAACGGTTGAGTTCTTGAAGCCTGTTACCATAACTCTGCCAGTTTCGTTGGGAGACACGCACCATGACTTTCCTGATCCAACGGCATGCCGGGTAAGAATATTGTTTCTGAGCTCTGATGGTGAACAGAAGGAATGGAAGGAAATCACCAACGATTTGAAGAACCCAGCGACGTTTGACGGGATGACAGTTAAATTTCAGGTGGAACGCTTCTCTGGGTATGTTTGTTTATTAATTGTACCAAATGTGACCGGTTTGCAAAGCGTGGCAGTCCCTCGAACATGTGAACCCCTAATGGGACGTGTTAATCAAGGAGATAAACTGCTATTTTCTTTTAAATAATTGGAAAGTGGTATTCTGAGGACTTTTTCGCATTTTTAGTTTTTAGTATCTATGTTGGGGTTGAATTTTTAACATTTAATTGTAATGCGCAATTGAAACTTCTTATATTGATAATTGTGCAATAGAAGTCTATAAATTATTATTATTATTATTATTATTAAAGAAGACATTTTTCGATCTACTTTTAGTCTAAGTTAAGAAAATTTCGAAGCGAAGATGATTTATCAAGCGAGCACTCGGCAGTGGACATAACAACTGATAGAGGATAGGAGTTTTAGTATGTATATGAAAGAGTATAGGACTATAGCTTCGAACTGAGCCAAGGGATCTGCAATTTTCCCCCTCGAATGTAAAGACAGGTAAACGATAGACAAAGCTGGACAAAACTCTTTGCATCAGATTTTCTTTATGGAAGGAAACCCTATCTCGCGTATTACCATCGTGATACTGTCTTTTGCACCTTTCATATCATCCTCTAAACAAAGAAAGTCAATTTTTTTATCCCCCGTTTCTTGGGGAGACGTTGCTAAAATCTCAAACAACGGCTGGCAAGGAGAAGAATGTACTTGCAGATCCGATGTGGGGTTAATATTGCAGTTAACATACGGTTCTTTAACTTTTGTTACAGGTACTCGTGTCTTATTGACTGGTGTACAAAAAGCTTTAGTTATCAAGGCGTTATCGGATATCTATCGAGCCTTATTTGGAACCAACCTCAGCGCGCAGTGTTCTTCGCCTACTTCCCTCATGAAGAACCCCCTGATTCTCGAGACATTTTGTACCTAATTTGCTGCCCGTCTCAACTTAAAGAGAAGGTGCGGGCTGAAATTACGAATCAGGCTAATGCACCTACTTCAAGTGATTCAGACTCCCACATCATGATGATTCCTGGTCGTGATAAGGCATACGTCTCCCTTATTGGAGGGTTCAGAGCGATTGAGGAAGATGACATGGATGAATCTTATCTCCAGTAAGTTTTTAGATACGCTTCACTGAGAAAAACCCTCAGTATGCTATTAACCTGAAGTTTTATAACAGTAGGTTTTCTTTAAATAATGCCAAGAGGGCAATACCAATTTGTTTAATTAAATTCAAAAAGCAATTAGCAGAGATTTAAAGTTGAGTTGTTATTGATGGAATTTAACTCAAACCTTGACTTCATAAATTTAGTTTTTTTCTCATATAAATTGCAGGTGCTATAGAGCCCAGAGAAATTATTAAATTTTAATTCAGATTATCGCTGTACACTCGCTCCCCGTTCCCCGTTTCCAGTTCCTCTTTCGACAATTTGGTAGCATCCGTGCTATTTTCTCTGTAGAAAAACGGAAAAGATTCTTGCTAATAAATACATCCTTTTTCGCGCTGATAAGAATTATTTTTAACAGGTTTATAAGTGATGACCTCCATAAAGTTCAAGTTCCAATCCGTGTTATTGATGACAAAGGACCTCCAGGGGTGAAGTTTTTTAAAACACCGAAGTTTGAAAAAGGCACTCTGCTATGTGGATTGTATTTTCGATTATCGCCTCCCAAGAGAAAGCTTAAGGTGAGAGGTTTTCTTGTAACTTCCTTGGTAATGATAATAACAATAATAATAATAATAATAATAATAATAATAATAATATTTGGTACACTTTGTCACTGCCTTTTCGGTCGCTGTATGAGTTTTGAACGTGTTCTTCATATAATTCCTTTTTGTTTAACAATATTGAGGATGACATAAGCAAAATTCCGATCAACAGTACGATAGAGCATATATCCAAAGCTGACATTTCTCAGGGGACAGTTTTGCGTGTTGATGAAATAGAAAAAAAAAACATGAAAAAAAGAGAAAAGGAAAGGAAATGCAACACGATCACGTAACATTTCAAATGGATTTTATCATACATGCATGTAGAATACATGGCGGAATTCGTAGAAAATAAACATATGCGTCCTGAGAATTAAACATGTACATTCTTCTAAAACTAAATAGGAACATATTACTTTTTATGTAATTTTAGAAAACCCCGGTGGAGTTTTTTGGCATTCCTGTCAATGATGAAATCTTGTCAAATCCGCGTCCTGAGAATGTTCTGGGGATTGGAAAACAATTCGTTGGTTCAGAGGTGTATGACGATCTCCTTTCCCGCTTCAGCAAAGGCAATATGAATCAGAAGCAGACAATGCAAAGCTTCTATGAGGCTCTTGCAGGATTGAAAATCGAGACCCAAGATGAGTGTTTTGAGGCCCTTGTCAAGGAAATGAGCCGCTATGAAGCATTTGAGTTTGTGGGGCATCGACTTCAGGAAGGTAACGACATTAAAAGGTCAAACAGTTTTCATTTGAGTGTGAAAAGTAATCCAAGATTAGTGTGGTTTTGTTTTACTTTTCTTTTTAATTGTTTCAGAAAACTAGTGCCACCCTAATTCAACCGACCATGTACAAAATAAGACCAATCGCGACTTTGTCGCTCGCGTTTCTCCGGGTTATTAGCAGTTTGCTTGTTCTAACTTTAATAAGCTCTTAGTGATATTTTCCTCTGATAGGCGGTTGTGATATAAATTTCGTTTAGGTTTCACGACACTCAATTGAATTGAGCATGACACTCAGTTGAGTTGAGCTCTGATGGATAATAGTTCACTTGTCCACAACGCTTGACACATAACCTTTAGTCTTAGAAGTTATTAACGCCTGTATTTTCCTCATTGTGTTCATATTTTGTCTGGAGTTCAAGTGAAGAGAATTGACGAGCTCATCGCAAATAATTTTGTTTCATATGTTTATGGAAGTAGATATCACGGGAGAAATTTTAACAGTAAGGATGCATGATATAGAGAATTACCCTGATATCCCAAATTCTAAACAGGTTTGACTTAGTATCAATGTTGTTGCAATTTTTGATGTCACGTACCCTGCGGAGCCCCCCTGCAAAATGTTAGTCATTCTTGTAAATGGGGGCACAAGGTTCTACGTTCAAAGAAATGTCTTGCGCATTTGTCCTTTTCTGACCACAGGGATGAGCCCCGACCTAGTCCCAGGGAAATTAATCTTGCCAAGGTCTGGGCTCAGCCTGGGAACTAGAGGGGAGTTTACGGTGAGTCTCCCTTGATACTTTGCAATCATGTCCAGGTTTAACAGAGTCGAGATCGCAGAGGGGCTAAGCTTGGTTGATTTGCTCTCGGAGAGGGGTTTGTGATACAAGAAGTTAATCAGTTAGTGGCAGGTTTCTGATCTGATAATAAAGGCAGAATGCACGCAGTCCATTTGGAATTTTTTATCATATTCCTTTTCGCCCTTCTAGGTAAAGATGCTGTTTGCAAATCATTGAAGACAAATGCGGACGTGAAGAAAATTGTATCAGAAAAAGCGGAGTATCATTGGAAAAACCTGGCAAGAGAGCTGGGGCTTGAAGATGGAATAATTGATGCGATATCTGTGGAACAACAAGATAAATGCGGAGAATGCTGTTATCAAGTTCTACAAAGATGGTACGAAGAGAATGGCGAATCAGCTACTATCAGAAGAGCCATGGTGGCACTGACTAGAATAGGATTAGCGGACATCAACAACGACATTGTAGATTGTCTTAATTTGAGACGTTTGGATCAAATGGAGTTCGACTCATAGAACTGATAAAATTGGAAGAATTTAGCATTCAATTTGTATCTTCAACGACGTGTCTTTGGACTTCATTCAATGCACAATGTACCTTGGTACACACGAAACGAAACGAGCAATCACGTGATGCCAAACATGTTACGGTCAGAATAACATCATGCGAACACTCTTACGGACAATAGAAAATTTGCATGATTTGATCATGTAACTTTGTTATGCACACACACACGCACCCATGTGGCTTTGGATGAAGACTGATGGAAAAAATTGAAAAAAGCTTTGTAAACTTAGTAAAAGTTTGAATTTTTTAGATGTAAGTTTGAGATCTTTGGACTGTTTGAAATTCTGGTAGTTTAGTTCAAAAGATTCTTACACTGAAGGGAGAGTTCGCAATTCAGCTCCTCTCTTTTATCCTCAGAGGCGTTGCTGTATGTAAAACAGAAAAAATAGAAAAACATTTTCACGTAAATGGTCGCTCATTTATCCACCCTTTTAAGTCTATGGAGGCCTTCAGCATTTGGGCAAAATGACTTCAGAATTTTTAAGAGTATTAGGCCCAAAGTACATGTTACATCTAAATTTGGCTTACTGGCTAAACTTTATTCCCAGTACATATAAATATGTAAATCAGTATTTGTGCATCTACGAACCAAATTTTAGTAGGGAATATTTATTCTTTCAAACGCGCGGCTATAGGTTTTAGAGGTGAATTAATTTATAAACTGCATAACAATATTTGTATGCATTTTTAAAAAGCAACTTTTTTGCAAGTAATTTCTGAATCAGAAAGTTGTGGGTATTTTGCTGTTACTAGCAATTTGGACTGAATATGGTACAGTAAAAACCGTGTATGTCAAGTTCACATTGAATAATTTATTAATAACTTAAGTTAGGCTGCCCTATCTTTTTAGTCCTCAATAGTAATTATGGGCAGCCTAAACTCTCTCCATTTTTCATGTAATGTATTTTTTTGTATCATGTAAATTAATGTAGGGTACAAATAAAGTTGTTTTTGTAGTTGAAATGTTTACCTTTTCTATTTTTTCCTTTCGATTTATATTCCTTTTCAAAGGATATGTTAGATATGATCAGAGTAAAACGCACACGTGAGAACGTTTGACGACGTAGCTTTTACGTTTAAAGCGATAACAATGTAGAAATGCAGAGGTGAGACCCTGAACAAACACCGAACTAAACCCGACAAAACCAAAAGTTTATCCAAAGAACCCCAATCAGATTCGTTCAAAGATGGCTAGCGTCGGAGATGAACTAGAACGAGTAACAAGAGATGTGATATTCCGCCATTTTTGGGAGAAAATTCGTTTTCCTAAAGCGATGAATGATGTCCAACCCATCAGATGGCTAAATTTGTTAATACCACTACAGGATCTCCCTTTTTTCTGGAATAACTGGATCCTATTTTGCGACAGGGACGGAAATCTGTCGATGAACTCATCGCAAGACTCGCTCTCACTCCAAAAAAATCCAAAGTGGAGGAACATGCCTCAGAGAAGCCATTCGATTTTGAGGAAGATGGAGTAGACATGGGTCAGATATCGGTAGTGAGAGAAACATTCGACACACTTCTCACTGAAAGTTTGAAGGTGTCTGTATTAGTGATTTCCTTACTTCATGGGCCTTTCTCTGTGAAAACAGCTGCCAAAGTCGTTTGTAATGACCAGTCAGAGGCTATTGCTCAGTTAGAGGGTCTTGTAGCCAAAATGGAATCATTTTTGTAGTTTATGAAGAAGCAAAAGAAAGAAAGTATGACATTCATCCACTCTTACAAAGTATGCTGACAGTATCAAGAGTCAGGAAAACTTTCTTGCTCTCTACCTAGGGGCAAAAGCACGTTTTTATGACTCTTCGTGTCCAAGATAGAGGAAATTGCCAAATACATAGAGCCAAGCTATGTCAGAGCATTCCATTTATTTGAGACAGACAGAGGAAACTATGAGTTTGCTATTGAGATCTCCTTACAACCAGAGTATTTCATTTTTCTTGGTGAATTCCATGAGACTGCTTTGATTGCATCCCTTTTCATTGCAATGCTGAATGAGATGAAACTTATGAAAGTGTTTGACTCCTGGGCTGAGATGTGTGATGATGATGGACAGACAGGTGTGGTAATTTAATTGATGGTTTGGTCAATCATGAAACTAAATTAAGAAAATGTGAGAGTGGCAATGGTGCAATCAGTTTCCATGTTATAATTTATATTAAATTTAAAGAGCATGTATGTCATACCTGGTTAACAAATGTTGACCCTTTAACCCCTAAGAGTGTCTAACATCTAAATTCTCCTTACAACATCACCCTTGAATCAAACATTAAGGTCATGAGAATAAAGGAAATGATCATCAACTAAAGCAGCTCTTGATTATTAAACAAATTCTCCTTGTCAGCATCTTGGGAAATGTATAGTGAATAGTATGGAGAATATGGATACTGATGTCAGGGGATAAAGGGTTAAAAGAAAACATCTGCTGAGGGGCAAACTTTGAATGATCTCAAAATAAAACTCTTCAAAAGTGTTCAAATTGTAAAACTTGCCTCAAACTTGGGAATCTTATCTAATACATTAGTGTTCTTTTCAGTATTCCTGTCATTTATTATAATTACACACCATCACCATTTCATTTTGTGATTGTGGGGAGATAGCAACACATGCTGTCACTTATGGGGCCTTAAAATGACACAATTTAATTAATGAACATTTCTTTGTCTCCTAAATTTAATTAAATTTAATCTCTCAAATTTAATTATAGTTTTATTATCATAATGTTAAACACTCCTGGTGGGTAGTAATATTTCTGATGACGAGACACCTGATAAATGTGCTGATATAAAGTTTTTACAATGATCATTATCATTCTTATCAGTATTAATATCATTATTATTTTGCTGCATTTGTGGGTTCTCTTGCTCCAACACAATTGAAATGCTGGGAAGCAAAGCAAGTTTTTGATGTCTATAGAACAGAGAAAGCATTGAAAGTCCAATGATTTCTTTAAAAGTTTACTGATTAGAAAGGAAAAACCATCAAGGAAATTATATACAGCATAACTTAGTTACATTAAATATTGGCAACTTTAGTACCAATTGTCTGTGAAAAAAAAAAGGCAGGCTCTGGGCTAACACAAACAAGCAAAAATTGTCTTGGGTCTGTTCTGATAACCACATGTGTTGTTTGTTATTTGCCCATTCTTTTACATGCCTCCACTGACTCAGGGAGTGGAACAGGCTACATCAGAAATGGTTTAGATAGGAATACAACATATGACAATTAATTGCCTCCCTAACTAAGTGAATCATCAACAGGCATTCTATGCCAAAATTTCACAGATTAAACTTGAAAGTTGTTCCCAAGGTGGTAGAGAGGGAGATGATTACTACCATAGCCCTCCTTGTGTAAATCAGGGAGTCTACACGACAGGAAGTTATCAGCTCATTATCTGAAATTATGTATCTATTCTTGAATTAGTCTGCCTTTGGCCCATACAAGCAACAAGTTATGATAGTCAAGCCAGAGAAGGAAACTCACTTGTCCTGAAATAACTATGAGAGCCCCAGCTTCCAAGCTTATTTTAAGATGATAATTGAGTGCACATACATTACAAACAAAGTTTAGTAAAAGTGTCTTTTGCTCACCTATCTGAGTGTTAACTCTGGTTATCATAATTGACAAAGCCAAAATTGGAGTCCTCAGATATTTTCAAAAAAGCTTGTGCCTAGCTGTTGTGTTGAACTGTTGCTATACAAGACCTACATACTGTCCCACCTGGAATACTGCAGCCTACTTTTATAAGGATAGATAAAACATTGAACAATAAACTAGAATCTGCCAACTTTTTCTGAAGTGAATATACTGTACATGTAAAAGCCTCCATCTATAGGCTTCTGTTATATCAATTGCAAAAACCTTAATGAAGTTCAGTAAAAGAGCACACCTCTCTGGGTGTTGACAATGGACACTGTTTATCAACCCAAAGTACATGTGCTTAGAGCTTCCTATAGTACTCATTTAAACCACAGGTACTATATCTATATCCTTAAGTTTCATGCAAACACTTTAAGATAGCAAAGGAATACATAATTGTTCATTTCACACCCTCTCATGCTGGATAAGTGTGTTTGGTCTTGTTCAGCTGTAGAGAAATAAAAAAAATACATAGCTATAATTAATCTATTAAATTAATTAATTAGACAATTCAAATTACATTTAAGTCTCAGAAAGTATAATTTACCAGCACTCCACTGAAGTCACTACAATGAGTGACTGAAAAGGAATTTCTCCCAACAAAATTGCAACATTTTAAGGCAGAAACATGATGAGGGAGAGCCAAATGGGTGGAATCAGTTATGAGTGACTAACAATTTTATCACTTGGTTAACCTATCAATATTTTGTAGTAATATCAAAAGAAAAGATTTACTACCTAAGCAATGCATTCACTCTGATTCCATGTTACTGAGTCTTGCCTTGTTGAGCTGTAAAGACACAGAAAAAGACAAAATGAGACAGAGGAATGGGAATTTGAGATGAATGGGCTACCATGTCTGTATAAAATTTTACTCTACTTCAAAGTTATTTGTCATGCATTATCAGGCTACAACAGATGAAACTAAATGCAATGATAATCAGAATTATTGCGAACTCATTTAAAACATGAACACTGAAAATAAAATTCAACTGAAGTGAACATGTACATTGCTTTACTTTGACAACTGCTATATGACTGTATAGCCAACACATGCAAGTCACATAAAAGAAAATCATACCAGAAGCCATCTTCAGCATCTCCTCAACAAGAGCTCCACACTGTTTCTCCCAACTGTACACCTCATTGTAATATTTCCTCAGTGAATCAGCCTCCTTAAGCCGTAGTGTCCTCCCCTTGTCCCTGACCTTCTTGATTGCCTTGGACCACTTACTGACATCCTCTGACTCCACAATGAACGACGAACCCTCAAGGACATCTGTCAAGGCTTCACCAAGTCCTGATGCACTATGAACCAGGATAGGGAGACCAGATGACAAGGCTGCAAGACCAAACATTCCAAATTCTTGTTCACCTGAGGGCATGATGGCAAGATCTGCTTCACAGAGCCACCTTTTCAACTCTTCTTCATCTCTTGGAGGGCTTCGAATGATCAGCTGATGTTTGGGAACACCACATTTATGAAATTCCTCAACAAATTTCTCAAAGTTTTCTTTTCCCTCAGCAGCACCAACAAAAATAATCTTATAGGATCCCTCCTTCAACCCAGCAACTGCTTCAGCAACAACTTTAAGTCCCTCTTTTTCAAAATGACTGGGGTTGTCATGTCCTGCAATCAGGATATGAAACTTCTCCCTATCATCAGTGGTTTGTGTGATATCAGTAAATTCACTGAGTATACCTGGAGTGAACTTAAAAACTCTTTTCTTCCGATAAGAGAGGGATCTGGAAAGTTCTTCTGCCATCTTTGGTCCTTTTGCAACTACACAATCAGCCGTTTCCATTAAAGGTTGAAGATTGCTTTCTCTTTCCAATATTTCACTATCAACCTTAACAAGAGCATTTCTTAATTTGCTCTTTCTACAGAGGCTTTCTTCAAAAGAATCCCAACCAACAAAAATGCTTTTGCAGTGATTATATTCCTTAAATATTTGCGCCATTTTGGAAAGTCCTTCACCTGCACCGATTACAATGTCTGTAGTGAGATCTTTTGGTGGGAAGAACAGGGATTCTTGGAATCCAGGTTGCTTTTTTGCTTCAACAATGGTAACATTGTGACTTTTGGCATCTTTCTTGTCAATTCTATTACATAAACCTTCAGGGACTAAGAAAGAGACTTTCACATGAGGGAATTTTGCCAGTTGTTTGGACAACTCTTTTGCAAGGACTGAGTTGAATCTCCAAGAATCCCACCACCATCCCCATTTTTTTGCCAGGATGGTAACTCTGACTGGATTGCTGGAGGAATATCTTCCATTGCATGGCATCTGACTAATTATTTGTTCAGTATAACTCCCTACTAAAGCTTTAGCCTGCAAAAGAGGAACAAATGAATATGTTTAATGAAACTGATGATACTAAGGTCACTAATTGGGAGATCTCTCTGCTCTTTCTACATGTATAAGCATTGTGCCCAACTGTCATGTTTAGCACTTTACATTGCATTATTTACAGCAACAAATAATGCCATGATGTCACAGCTGTATTTTCATTGGTTATGATGCAACAAAATTTACACAGCTTTTACCAATATGTACTGCTTCATCAAAAATGTTTTCTTTCAGAATGTCCCAGATAAAAACATGGTTTCAGGTTTGCTACTTGTTTGGCAAGACTTTCTGAGCAAACTCTGTTGCTACAAAGAGGAAATATGTTTCAAAATTGTTGACAAGTCAGCCTGAGAGATTTCTTTCATGTTTGCATAATTATGTAAATGCACATACACTTAACAATCATGTAAGCACATTCTAAAATTAATCCACTTTAGCTCTTAACAATAAAACATAAATCTACATGTAAGTGACATGTAGGGCATAAAAATCTACCTTTATTTTCATAATCAGGTATACCCTAGATGAGTTATCCTTCTGCCAGGCTAGGATGCAGAGGTGAAGAGTTAAGTGGACATTAAGTTGGAAAAATGCAATGAATAGTAATATTATGTAACTAACTAACTTACCTTCCTTTCCTCAAGCCTTTCGAAAACATTCTGAAATGCAATCAAACCAATTTGAAACTTAGTTGTCACTTTGCTATGCTTTAATCAAACTTTACCTCTTCATCACAGAGAAATAGGAAGCCACTTTGCTTCTCATCACACAGGTAAATAGTCTTTTAATCACAAACAAGCTAATCAATCAGTATGTGTGAAAAGCACTTGGTCTGCTTATTTGACGTGTAGTAAATTAAACTTACATTGTACCCTTAAACTCTTACTACACTTGAGGAAAATATGAGATGCAGCTTCTCTTTTACAGCCCAAATATTTTGCACTTATTATTGAATATCTTTCACAAATTCTCTAAATCGTAAATCACAGATAACACATATATGTGGTATGACATTTTGCTCAAGATTCCAAGGTATTGTCTGAGACCTTCAAGTACATTTTTGAAAAACAGTGTCTTATGGAACACTGCATAAGAATTTAATCTTTACTACTGCCAAGACCTCAAATCATTTTGGCCATGAAAATAAATCTCAAAATACAATATCACCATGCTGGATGAAACTACTAGTGGTGCAGGTTGAAAAAACTAAACTAAGTGATCTCCCAAAATTTTGTAAGCAGCTCTTTCCTTAATTCGTATATTTGATGCTCCTGCCAATTTAGATTAGGAGGACTGCACTCCTCCTTGCTCACATTTTCCAAACTTATTTGATTGACCCGTCTTTACATGTGGCTCTCAAACACACTGTGATTATTTGCCTTTTTTTTGTTAGTGCATTAAAAGGTTCTTGGCTTTTATCAATATGTACTGCTTCATCAAAACCGTTTTCTTTCAGAATGTTCCAGATTAAACATGGTTTCTGGTTTGTTACTTGTTTGGCAAAACTTTCTTAGCAAACTCTGTTGCTGCAAAGAGGAGATATGTTTCAAAATTGATGACAAGTCAGCCTGAGAGATTTCTTTCATGTTTGCCTAATTATTTAAATGCACATATATTTAACAATCCAATCAGCATGTGTGAAAAGCACTTAGTCTACTTATTTGACGTGTAGTAAATTAAACTTACACTGTGCCCTTAAACTCTTACTATACTTGAGGAAAATATGAGATGCAGCTTCCCCTTTACGGCCGGAATATTTGCACACATTATTGAATATCTTTCAAGAATTCTCTAAATGATAAGTCGCTGATGACAATATGTAGTATGACATTTTGCCCAAGATTCCAAGGTCTTGTCTGAGACCTTTGAGTCTGTATTTGAAAAATGGTGTCTTATGGAACAGTGAGAATTTAAGCTTTAATGCTGTCAAGATCTCACATCATTTTAGCCATGAAAATAAATCTCAAAAGAATACAGTATCACCATGCTGGATGAAAATGCTAGTGGTGTGGGTTGAGAAATCTAAACTAAGTGATCTCCCAAAATTTTGTTAGCAGCTCTTTCCTTAATTTATATATTTTGATGCTCCTAAAAATGTAGATTAGGAGGACTGCACTCCTCCTTGCTCATATTTTCCAAACTTATTTGATTGATGTCTTTGCATGTGGCTCTCAAACACACTGTGATTAGTTGCCCTTTCTTTGTTAGTGCATTAAAAGGTACTTGGCTTTTATCAATATGTACTGCTTCAAGAAAAATGTTTTCTTCCAGAATGTCCCTGATCAAAACATGGTTTCTGGCTTGCTACTAGTTATTGTCATTAAACAGCATATGCTGTTGGTTTCGCCATTTGCGAACCATTGACTCGGATATTCCGTACTCGCGTGCAATTTCCCGATTGTTTTTCACTGCCTCTGCTTCTGCTACTATTTTCAACTTAAAGTTCAGATTGTAAGAATGACGTTGCGTACTAGGCATGATTTTTGTTTTGAACTTAGCAATGCTCGCTGAATCGCCGTGAATGAAGTTTTACAACTAGCAATTCGACCAGCTGAGACATGCTTATAAAGCTTACACTGGATCAACTAGTATACATAGCTTTAGAGAGTAACACTGTTTCCTAAGAAGGCCGACTGTATTCACAGTATCTCTGTCTCTTTTATAAGTGTGATTTTTTTCGCTTTGTTTGCACAAATGTGTGACTTTTTTTCCGTTTGTTAAAAAAAGGTGACATAACTGTAATTAGGAACTTTGAAAACACTATTGTTTTGAAAGTGAAGATAGTGAAAAGGCTCAAAGTTGAGGTTGCGTCTTATAACCGGGTATTTAGGCGAAATTTTCAGTTTAACAACTTGAAAGAAACGAGTTCAAAAATTCAGGGAGCGTCTTATAACCGAGTGCGCCTTATAACCGAGAAAATACGGTATATTTAACTATCATGGAAGCACATTCTAAAATTAATCCACTTCAGCTCTTAACTGTAAAACATACATCTACACGGAAGTGATATATAGCGCATAAAAATCTCATTTTCTTTTATACAATCATGTATATCCCAAAAAAGAGTTATCCTTCTGCTGGCCAAGGATGCAGAGGTGAAGAGTAGAGGACATTTGCCCACTTGGTACTTCCTAGTTTATGTTTTTTATCGGTTTTAAACATTGCATAAAATCATTAGGTTTCATAGTTTTCCGCTAGATTGCTCATTGCAGTATTCAAAACTTTGATATTTTGCCACAAAAGGTTGGAAAATGCAAATAATGGGAAAATAGTGTAACTTACCAATCCATTTATACGGGCCGCGACCTGAAATGCAATTAAACCAAACTTAGTTGTCACTTTGCTACGCTTTAATCAAACTTTACCTCTTCATCACAGAGAAATAGGAAGCCACTTTGCTTCTCGCCACACAGGTAAATAGTATTTTACTCACATACAAGCCAGCCAATCAGTATGTGTGAAAAGCACCAAGCTGCAGTCTACTTATTTCACGTGTAGTAAATTATACGTAATACGCTGTACCCTTTAACTCTTACTATACTTGAGGGAAAAAAAGGGATGCAGCTTCTCTTTTAAAGAACACATTATTGAATATCTTTCAAGAATTCTCTAAATCATGAGTCATTGATAACAATTTGAAGTGCGATATTTCGCTCAAGATTCCAAGGTCTTGCCTGAGACCTTCGAGTCTGTATTTGAAAAATGGTGTCTTATGGAACAGTGAGAATTTAAGCTTTAATACTGCCAAGATCTCACATCATTTTAGCCATGAAAATAAATCTCAAAAGAATACAGTATCACCATGCTGGATGAAACTGCTAATGGTCCGGGTTGAGAAATCTAAACTAAGTGATCTCCCAAAATTTTGTTAGCAGCTCTTTCCTTAATTTATATATTTGATGCTCCTAAAAATGTAGATTAGGAGGACTGCACTCCTCCTTGCTCATATTTTCCAAACTTATTTGATTGATGTCTTTGTATGTGGCTCTCAAACACACTGTGATTAGTTGCCCTTTCTTTGTTAGTGCATTAAAAGGTATTTGGCTTTTATCAATATGTACTGCTTTGTGCTACTTGTTGGGCAAAACTTTCTGCACAAATGTTGCTGCTACATAGGGAAAGTATGTTTCAAAACTGACGACAAGTCAGCCTGAGAGATTTCTTTCATGTTTGCATATGTAAATGCACATACATTTTAAGTATCATGTAAGCACATTCTAAAATTAATCTACTTCAACTCTTAATAATGAAACACACATCTTCTTGTAAGTTACATATAAGGCATAAAAATCTCTTTTTTTTCATATACAATCATGTACACCCCAAAAAAGAGATATCCTTCTGCTGGCCTAGGATGCAGAGGTGAAGAGTAGTGGACATTTACCCTCTTGATACTTCCTAATTCATGTATTTTAATCAGTTTTAAACATTGCATAAAATCATTGGACACGTTTCTTAGTTTCCATTAGATAGCTCATTACAGTATTCAAAACTTTGATATTTTACCATAAAAGGTTGGAAAATGCAATGCATTAGAAAATAATGTAACTAACAAACTAACTTACCCTCTCAATCTCTGCTAAGGACCTCGCCTGAAATGCAATCAAACCAAACTTAGTTGTCACTTTGCTATGCTTTAATCAAACTTTATTTACCTCTTCACCACAGAGAAATAGGAAGCCACTTTGCTTCTCACCACAGAGGTAAATAGTATTTTAATCACATACAAGCTAGCCAATCAGCATGTGTGAAAAGCACTTAGTCTACTTATTTGACATGTAGTAAATTAAACTTACACTGTGCCCTTAAACTCTAACTATACTTGAGGAAAATATAAGATGTAGCTTCTCTTTTATGGCTGAAATATTTTAGCACACATTATTGAATATCTTTCAAGAATTCTCTAAATGATAAGTCACTGATAACAATATGTCGTATGACATTTCGCTCAAGATTCCAAGGTCTTGTCTGAGACCTTCAAGTACGTTTTTGAAAAACAGTGTCTTATGGAACAGTGCATAAGAATTTAATCTTTAATACTGCCAAGACCTCAAATCATTTTGGCCATGAAAATAAATCTCAAAAGAATACAGTATCACCATGCTGGATGAAACTGCTAGTGGTGCAGAGGTTGTAAAAACTAAACTAAGTGATCTCCCAAAATTTTGTTAGCAGCTCTTCCCTTAATTTGTATATTTGATGCTCCTGCCAATTTAGATTAGGAGGACTGCACTCCTCCTTGCTCACATTTTCCAAACTTATTTGATTGACCCGTCTTTACATGTGGCTCTCAAACACACTGTGATTATTTGCCTTTTTTTTGTTAGTGCATTAAAAGGTTCTTGGCTTTTATCAATATGCTTCATCAAAAATGTTTTCTTTCAGAATGTCCCAGATTAAACATGGTTTCTGGTTTGTTACTTGTTTGGCAAAACTTTCTTAGCAAACTCTGTTGCTGCAAAGAGGAAATATGTTTCAAAATTGATGACAAGTCAGCCTGAGAGATTTCTTTCATGTTTGCATAATTATGTAAATGCACATATATTTAACAACATGTAAGCACATTTTAAAATTAATCCACTTTAGCTCTTAACAATAAAACATAAATCTACATGTAAGTGACATGTAGGGCATAAAAATCTTTTTTTTTTCATAATCAGGTATACCCCAAAAGAGTTATCCCTCTGCCAGGCTAGGATGCAGAGGTGAAGAGTTAAGTGGACATTAAGTTGGAAAAATGCAATGAATGGTAAAATTATGCAACTAACTAACTTACCTGAATTTCCAGATGCCTTTCGATAATATCCTGAAATGCAATCAAACCAATTTGAAACTTAGTTGTCACTTTGCTATGCTTTAATCAAACTTTACCTCTTCATCACAGAGAAATAGGAAGCCACTTTGCTTCTCGCCACAGAGGTAAATAGTATTTTAATCACATACAAGCTAGCCAATCAGCATGTGTGAAAAGCACTTAGTCTACTTATTTGATGTGTAGTAAATTAAACTAACACTGTACCCTTAAACTCTTACTATACTTGAGGAAAATATGAGATGCAGCTTCTCTTTTACAGCCCAAAATATTTTGCACTTATCATTGAATATCTTTCAAGAATTCTCTGAATGACTGGTCTCTGATAAAAATATGTAGTATGACATTTTGCTCAAGATTCCAAGGTCTTGTCTGAGACCTTCAAGTACATTTTTGAAAAACAGTGTCTTATGGAACAGTGCATAAGAATTTAATCTTTAATACTACCAAGACCTCAAATCATTTTGGCCATGAAAATAAATCTCAAAAGAATACAATATCACCATGCTGGATGAAACTACTAGTGGTGCAGGTTAAAAAAACTAAACTAAGTGATCTCCCAAAATTTTTTAAGCAGCTCTTTCCTTAATTCGTATATTTGATGCTCCTGCCAATTTAGATTAGGAGGACTGCACTCCTCCTTGCTCACATTTTCCAAACTTATTTGATTGACCTGTCTAATTACATGTGGCTCTCAAACACACTGTGATTATTTGCCTTTTTTTGTTAGTGCATTAAAAGGTTCTTGGCTTTTATCAATATGTACTGCTTCATCAAAACCGTTTTCTTTCAGAATGTTCCAGATTAAACATGGTTTCTGGTTTGTTACTTGTTTGGCAAAACTTTCTTAGCAAACTCTGTTGCTGCAAAGAGGAAATATGTTTCAAAATTGATGACAAGTCAGCCTGAGAGATTTCTTTCATGTTTGCATAATTATGTAAATGCACATATATTTAACAAAATGTAAGCACATTTTAAAATTAATCCACTTTAGCTCTTGAAAATAAAGCATAAATCTACATGTAAGTGACATAAAGGGCATAAAAATCTACTTTATTTTTCATAACCAGGTATATCCTAGATGGGTTATCCTTCTGCTGGATTAGGATGCAGAGGTGAAGAGTTAAGTGGACATTGTGTTGGAAAAATGCAATGAAAGGTAACATTATGTAATTAACTGACTTACCTCTAGTTCTGAAATGCAATCACATCAATTTTCAAACTTAGTTGTCACTTTGCTATGCTTTAATCAAACTTTACCTCTTCACCACAGAGAAATAGGAAGCCACTTTGCTTCTCGCCACACAGGTAAATAGTCTTTTAATCACAAACAAGCTTGCATATCAGCATGAGTGAAAAGCACTTAGTCTACTTATTTGACGTGTAGTAAATTAAACTTACACTGTACCCTTAAACTCTTACTATACTTGAGGAAAGTATGAGATGGAACTTCTCTTTACGGCCCAAAATATTTTTGCAAACATTATTGAAAATCTTTCAAGAATTCTCTAAATCATAAGTCACAGATAAGACATATGTGGTATGACATTTTGCTCAAGATTCCAAGGTCTTGCCTGAAACCTACAAGTCTGTTTTCGAAAAATGGTGTCTTATGGAACAGTGAGAATTTAAGCTTTAAAACTACCAAGATCTCACATTATTTTGGCAATGAAAATAAATCTCAGAAGAATACAGTACTGCCATGCTGGATGAAATTGCTAGTGGTGCGGGTTGAGAAATCTAAACTAAGTGATCTCCAAAAATTTTGTTAGCAGCTCTTTCCTTAATTTGTATATTTGATGCTCCTGTCGATGTAGATTGCGAGGACTGTACTCCTCCTTGCTCATATTTTCCAAACTCATCCAATTGATCTGTCTTTGCATGTGGCTCTCAAACACACTGTGATTAGTTGCCCTTTCTTCCATAGTGCATTAAAAGGTTCTTGGCTTTTATCAATATGCACTGCTTCATGAAAAAAGTTTTCTTTCAGAATGTCCCAGATTAAACATGGTTTCTGATTTGCTACTTGTCTAGCAAAACTTTCTGCACAAACTCTGTTGTTACATTGGGGAAACAGTGAGAATTTAAGCTTTAATACTTTCAAGATCTCCCATCATTTTCGCTACAAATTTCAAAAGAATACAGTAAGGCAACTCTGAATGAAACAGCTAGCGGTGCTTGTCGAGAAATCTAAACTAGGTGATATCCCAAAATTTCAAAATTTTCTTACCACGTATGATGAATCATCCTGTCGAGGACATTTAGGAGGAGTGCACTCCTCCTCGCTCATATTTTTCAAACTCATCCGATTGATCTATCTTTACATGTGGCTCTCAAATACTTTTATTTCATGCCTTTTCTCGATTCTGTGGTTCAGCCGTCGGTTCACCCGAAGTTTGCAAATCTTTCGCCCATTGCTATTCCAGCCGCCGTCGAATCTGGTTTGCTTCGGCAAGCACTTTTCATGTACATGTGCAGTCTCTTCCAGCCTCGATCCCAGGCAAGTTAGGCTCCAAGCTTCCAAAAGTTTCAATGGGCCAAAGACCTTGTAAAAACTAGAACAGAACAGACTGGACTGGACTGGACTACATCACTGATCTAAAAAGCGGCGGTGAAAGAATAAAACGTGAAGCCATTGACAAAAAGAATGAGATTAATTTGATCTCATTTTAATGAGATTTAATGTGCTAAGACAAGCAAACAAACATATAAATACACAAACAAAGACAAAAATCCCAGGGAAACGAATCGTAAAAAAATTCGATATGCTTTGACAGTCTTTTCGAGTCTTTGCTATAACCCAGTCCTGCAGTGGACTGTACTAAGAACGTTTCCCCGCAAGGGATGCATGTAAGTAGCTCGCCTTCGAAACAAGAAACATACAATCAGAAGTATGTTACCTAAAATATGTTATAAGCTTCTTGTCAAATTAATGGTTTCTAGTAAAACACCATTTCTGCCATTTTAGGGTCCCCTGACGTCTCATTTTGCTGAAATTTTTGCTTTATCATTCACAGAAACTTTACATAAGGGAAGGTACGCTTTTCCTTGGAGGGGAGGGCTGGGGAATTTTCGATTTTTTTTTTTCCAAAAAAAAGTGTTTGCCCTTCCTTGCGTTTTAATTTAAAAAAAATCTTGACCCCCCCCCCCCCCCCCCCCCCCCCCCCGCCTTAAGATGACTGATAAAAGTGCGACCCTCCTCACTACTTCATGGTAAGTTCCATGCCGTAGAAACCTCAGAACATTTCGCTTGCGAATGCAAAATGTTTGAATATAAATACATCTCGATACTGAATGTGTGCGAGCTGAAACAAGAAAATGCGAACAATCAGTGTGGGATATTTACGTTTTATAGCTGAAGTTTGGATATGAAAGTATAAACTTTGAGAATTTGTAAGTCCTTCTCCAGCTACACTAACTCCACGACCCTATCCCGATTACAACAAACTTCCCGACTTTCACTACCTACCAAGTGCGGAAACTCCTACGAGTGGCCGCAAACCTGATGATCATCGGCCTCGAGCTCAAATAAAACAAATGTTTCAAGAGGGTAAGCTTTAAGCAGGGGATAAAAAGGCAATCAAAGAGTTTTCTGAAAATACATTGTTTCAGAAAAGCTTGTTGCAGACTATATTGAGCATCTAACTGACATTGAATAGCGGATAGTCAACAGGAGCAAGAAGCTGATGAAACGATACCTGAGTCTAGTACGTCTCGATATGGACGGAAAAGGAAAGAGTCCTCCGAGAAAACTATGCGCCATGGCAGGTAATATACAGGAAGAAATGGAACCTAGAACCTATTAATAGTAAAACACCAAATTTAATCAAAGTAGGTGAAAAGAAAAACTTAATCTGTTAGGAAAATGTTTATAACAACGGTTTCTCATCTGAACTGCTTTGTATAATATCAACTGAGATCGGTTACTTAAGGTCAATTCCTGGGTGGCGTGATTAAAATTGCTTTTGTCAGTCACGAATCATATCATTCTCCTGCATAATTTGAGGACATCACTTGGTGCCGGCCACATCATGCGACATTGCCTCAACCGACGCCAAACGAAAATGGCGTCCGTCGAGACAATCTCGGCTTCTGGAGACATTTCTTCTCGTTTCCAAACGCTTCTTCGAGGAGCCCCATGTAAGGTAATCCGGATTCCGGAATCCAGGAAATTTTTGCTTGTGGAATCCGGAATACTGGGCTCTGGAATCCAGAATCCAGCTTTTGGAATCCAGGATCCCGCTAAAAAGGGGAATCCAGAATCCACTTGCTGAAAATCCATTTCAAATCGTATTAACGGCTTTCACCCGCATCCATGCAACCACTGTACAGTGCAGTTCACTCACGTGGTCAATCGGTGCTCAAATTTAGAAAGTGTTTATATCACTGAAGCGTTCAAATCCACAGGATTTGCTTGGAACATGAATATAGCCGCTATTTGATTGTTTTGGAACACCTCTAAATAATGATATGGCCGCTATGACGTCCTGTGAATATTAACTTACTGGTTGTCATAACAACAGTTGGAAGGTGATTTTGTAAAAGATACGCTTTAGTTTTCCCATAAATCTAGGAATTTGTAAATTTCTGTGAAAATAATCTGACTATTGACAACTTGGATGCTTTGCTTTTGCCTGCTTTCCCCGCCGGTTTTTTAAGCAAATGGGCGCACGGCAAGCTTTGGCACCGGAAACTGCGCTACTTTTATCTGGCATCCAGGGTCGAGGTATCGACCTCAATACTTAATACTTAATACTCTTTTCATTTTCGACTCTTTCGAACTTTCTGGCACTTCTGATTCGCGATTGACCAAAATCAAAAATAAATATCCATTTTCCTTAAATCATAATGAGAGCATCAAAAAGTAATATTCTCCTGCAGATGGCCGTGGAAGCATAGTTGTAATTAGAAGCCAGACGAAAGCCAGGAACTGTCAAAACTGCACCAGTCACTCAGAGCACGTGGAGGGACACAAGCCGCAGTATTACAGAAAATTTGCCGTGTCTTTTTCAATTGATATATCATTTGTTTATTCGATTTGCTCTTTCCCTAAATCTCGATACTTCAATCATAATCTATGGGGAAGCACAAGAAAAAGCAAAAGGCGGAGAGGGAAAGGTAAGTGTAACATTGTAATGATTCAATTCATTCTTCGTTCCATTTTAAACTAACCTTCAGCGAAACTTACCAAAAATTACTGAAAATGCATCTTCAGAAGCCCAAGAAACCGAAGAAAGAAAGACTAAAAGGAAAAATACACGAGTTCAAGACCATCGAGGTTTGAGAATTTTTTGTGTATTATGAAACACTTTTGAATTTTTTTTCGGGGTTGCAACGAGCTAACAGGAACGACAGGGGTTTTAATAACGAACTACGGTCAATAATAATTGTTTCAATGTAGTAGAATTTGGAAGTTTAAAAGAAGTTGGAAGACTCGAAAAAACGCTTGCTAAACTTGAGAATACTCGGCCAATTGTTTGCATCTCATGGAGCAACAATGTTTTATGCCTCGTTAAATGATGAAACGCAACAAACGCACTGCATGACTCGCTTGTTAGCAGTGATTTAGGCCTTTAGTCGGTTTGAGATCAGTTACGCTAGAGGTTTGAATAAACTCTGCTCGTTAAATATTTTATCATGCTACCTGGCACTGGTCATGGAAATCGCTTATTTTTGTGCGAAATTCCGCTCGAATCGTGATTCACACTTAGCCCTTTAATTTCCAAGATCTGATTATTAATTCTCCCCTCTAGCTGCTACACAATTCCTCGTAAATTAGCTACGAAACTTTGGTGTAATATCAAGATGACAACTTCAACCTGCTAATTTTGAGTATTCCCATGAACCCTTTGCTGAAAAACATATAGATATTATAGGGAGAAGTTACATGTCAGTCTTTTCTGGGAGTTTATTGGTTAAACCATCATTGTTTATGAGAGACTTATTTTATTGCGCTAACTTGCATGTGCTTAGCCATGGCTAACCGCCGGACTTTAGGTTCAAGCATTGAGGCTCGTTGTTAGAGCTCGGTGATCACACGGCCCAATAAGGTGTGATAATTTTGTAAATCAGAAGTACAATAAAACTGTCAGTTTTGGAACTGAAAAATGGACTGGCCCAGGCGCTAGAACCCGCACCACCATTCTTAAAATTGGGCTTCTTCGAAAATAATTAATTTTTTTTTTCTTGCAGGCCTTTTCGTGAACAGTATGAACCTTCGACATCTCCACCAAGGTGGCGATCAAGGTCTCGCAACGAACGTACACCGAGGTATGTTAACTGTTATATTTTAACGAACCGAAAAAAGTTTTTTGAAAACTCGATTAACAACACGTGATGTAGCCTTAACACTATCACTTTCTTTGTTTTTGCAGCCTCCTCGAAAAATCAGAGCGATCGCCCTCTCGAAGGCGGCGATCAAGATCACCAAAAACAACGACGACGACCAGGTAGATTAATTCGAATTAATTGCTATAAGCGGAACACTATTAAAATGCCATAATATAGAACTTATTTTTTGCTACTCATGACAACGGTTTTCTTTCAAAATTCATTCTAGCATGTATTCTTTCTCAAGGGAACAGGAAGTGAAGAGGAGGGCAAAAGGCGAGAAGCCGTAATGCGAGAGTTTGTCGGAGAATATGGAAAAGGTGTACGACAGGAAAACGTTCGCTCAAAGACGAAAGAGTTGACTTGCACACTTCCATAGCGGCCTTCAGCATGCGTCCCTCTGTCATCACAGCCTCATCGGTAGACTGCCAAGACGTAACAACAGCCTGCCAAATAAAATATGCTAATGTCGTACTGCAGGGTTGAACTTTGCGGGTACAAACTGTTTACCATAATAAGGATATCGTTGCTGTGAGATTTTGCCTTTCTGGCTGGCTATTCTCTTACAAGACGTTCAATTAGAATTAGATAAAGGCAATTTTTTACGAAAGAAAGTACAATTTCAGTGGCTGAACGGCGATGTCTGTGATCGGAACTCACCCAACTTCATTCTAACCCGAGTTTTGGGATTCACTGCCGAGGGTTCAAGCATCACTCTAACGTCTGAGGAGGACAATAGGCTCTGCAGGCTTGCTCATGGTGACCCTGATGACGAAGATGTTGGAGATGATGCGGATCAAACTCCAGAGGATAAGGATATCGTTGCTGTGAGATTTTGCCTTTCTGGCTGGCTATTCTCTTACAAGACGTTCAATTAGAATTAGATAAAGGCAATTTTTTACGAAAGAAAGTACAATTTCAGTGGCTGAACGGCGATGTCTGTGATCGGAACTCACCCAA